TTATCATCTTCTTCATAATATTGATACTCCGCATATTTATTTTTATTATTTTCCATTATTTTATTTTTAAATTTTTTAGTACCACAAAAAACGTTTTCATTTATAATTGGCCAGACAATAATAATTAGTATTAGTCGACTAAAATAAACAACTAAAGTAGTCGACTATTAGTTGTTAAAAAAAAAAGTTAGTTGACTAACACTAAATTAGTCGACTATTTTAGTCGATTCCAACCTCTATAAATGCATGATTTTATTTTATTGATTTTTTTAAAAAAAAAATTTAATAAAAAAATAATAATAATAAAAAAATAAAAAATGTCGGATTTCATATCCTTGCTTCCAAAAGTACCCATGTTATTCTTGTCCACCATTAATTATTATCGTTACGGACCACCACAACCATCATGGGACTTAAAATTTTATTTGATGTTCAACATTACAAAAGAATATATGTCTGGTAAACCTATCGAAGATATTCAAAAAATGTTTACGGTCAATAGTGCTGTTGATGATGGTGTACTTGTAGATGAGCTGTCATTGTCAAATTCACTTCGTAAAAAATCAGAAGTTTACATTGATGGGATTTTGAAAGATTATAATCACGTGCTTCTTGATGATTGGAGAAGTGTTAATCTTGGAGATGGGTTGGAATGTGAATGGGTTTACGTTAAAAAAGAAGAAAACAATAGCAACAAGAAAAAATACGATAAGGTTATTTTGTACTTGCATGGTGGTGGATATATTTTCGCATCCCCTGGTGCTTATCGTAGTCATACTTCTAAAATTGCAAAATCTACAAACGCAAGACTATTTGGTAATTGATTATAATTATGAAAATAAATTTGACTTGACAAAAAAAAAAGTTTAGTTGACTAACAAAAAACGCATAATTTTATTTTCTTCAAAAAACCAAAGTACCAAATTATAGACTTGCACCACAAAATCAATTTCCTGCCGCTTTACATGATTCCATAACTGCCTACAATTATCTTATTGATCCACCAAAAGATGCGGATTTTCTACCAATTGAACCTAAAAATATTGTAATTATGGGTGATAGTGCAGGTGGTGGTCTAACAATTGCAACATTACTTGCTATACGTGACTCAAAAAAATCATTGCCTTTTCCAGCTGGAGCTGTTGTGTGGTCACCATGGGTTGATTTAGCTCACACGATGCCATCAATAAAAGATCCAAAATGTGATAAAACAGATATACTGTCAGCTGATACTATTCATAAAACAATATCTCCTCCGTGGTGGGAAGAATTCGAACAAAAGACAAAAGAATTATCAGAAAAAAT